GGCCTGCAGCTCCAGGTCCTTCCCGCTTTCCTGGGGAGACTCCGTGTCCCCAAGCAAGGCCCGGGCCCGTGCGGGGCAGCCGCAGCCCCCGGGGAAGGCAGCCAGGCCACACGCGTTTCACCAACAATAAGCCACAACTTTTATTAAGGGATAGAAATAGTACAAATTTTAAGTTTAGTTGCATTTTACTCTTCTCCGGAACACCAAAAAGGCTCCTCCCTGCCCGCAGCTACATCGTCAACTCCTGCGAAGAGAGAGAGCGCTCAGATGGGCCGGGCCGGCCCCACGGAGGGCCCCGACCAGAGCCCTGGGCAACCCCCTCCGCTTCGTAGCACCCAAAGGCTCCCAAATTCCTTCCCTTCCTCCCCCACAAGCAGAGACACCAGCACCTGCCCCGGGACAAATCCCGTTTCCAGCTCACCATGATGGCGTTTACAATGTCGTTACTGTTGTTCTTCAGGGCGCGGACGGCCTTCGCTCGGGACACATTCGCCTGCGACATGACCAGCTCGATGTCCTTCACCTCCACGCCGGTCTCGTCAACCTAAGGACATGGAGCGGTGTTGGTGACGGCTGCTCGCAGGCCGCTCCGTGTCCCGCACGGAAAAGCAGGATCGCCTGCGCTGGGGCAGCTCCGAGCAAAGCAGAAGGCAGAAGCGCAGGCGCTCGCTGGCCCTGACCAGGGGAAGGACCCTGCGCTTCACGTCTGTCCCCAAACCAGACATTCGGAGGAAGGACAGAAGACGGCATCAAATGTAAAGCCGCAGTCGTGAGCGAGCGTGAGGAAGGCCGCCCACCTCCTCCTCCTCGCTCTCCTCCTGCACGGTGGGTGTCTGTGTGTTCTCCTGGATGTGGGAGACGGCTTCTCCCGCCCCCTTGAACTTCTCCGCAGCCGCCAGCTGCGCCTGCTGCGACAGGTCTTCGATCTGCAGGGGAGAAGCAGGAGTGAGGGCAGCCCCGCGCAGGGGACGGTCCCAGCCGGGCGGCCGCAGGTGACACTGCCGCCCCGCTGCTGGTCCCCGCGGGCACCTTTGCTTCGCCGAAGACGATGTAGGTGTCGGACGCGGGGCTCTTGTACACGTCCGGCTTTGTGATGACGAAGAGGATGTTCTTGGATTTCCGGATGGTGACTCTGGTGACCCCTGTGACCTGGCGAAGGCCCAGCTTAGACATTGCCTAAAAATTAAAAAAAGGGGAGAGAAGGGTGAGACAGCGAAGACGGTGAGGACAAGACCCCAGTCCACTCCAGGCAGGGGGGTTGGCCTGGGAAAGGGGGGGCAGTGGCTTCCTGGGGGCCTGGCCAAGGAACAGAATCACCCTAGGCTCTCGGATCCCGAAAACCATCAGAGCCAGACACAGAGCAGCAACGCTGAGGAGAGTCCACGGGAGCAACGCGCGCGTTGCTGCCCATGTGGATCCCGCCCTACCTTCCGTGCTTTCTTTTCGCTCCGGCTCTGTTTCGCTTTGCTGACGGGTTCTTCATCTATTTCGGCTGCCGCCGCGAGCTGCAAGGACGGGAAAC